TCACCTGGGCAGGAGCCACCTTCTGGAGATAAGTCACCGTCACCTGGGCAGGAGCCGCTTTCTTCTCAGAAGAACCTGCCAGTTTATGAAGAAATATTTCTGTCCACTTTGGCAAGTCAGACACAAACCACAGCAGCTCAGCCACTCCCTCCAGACCAGGCAGCTCCTTCAGAAAATCGTTTAGTCTCTCTAGAGGATAGGAAATCATTCTGGGAATTCTGGAAATCCCCCAGGCCATTCATCTGGGAAAAGAAGCATCAAGGGACAGATCCGGAGCCCAGCGAGATGCCCATGTCCCTGGCAGAGGCGCCCTCCCCACCCACGGAAGACTCCGACAGAACCGAGCAGCCTATGGAGGTCGAGCCCTGGCCCTCAGCCAGCCAGTCGTCATCCATGGAGTGGCTGCCAGCTACCACGGAGGACGAGACCCAACCTGCAGGGACAAAGCTGCAGTAGCCGCTCGCTTGGGGCCAGCAGTGGTTAGCCCGGCCAGGAGGCTTGCCCCATAGGACTCTGCATACTTTTTCTAATAAACTAGAGTCTGTCTGGCCCCAACTTCAGGCTTCTCTCCTGTGTTTCTCTGGGTGATGCCCCAGGGCCCATTCTTTGTATTACTCTAATCACTGACCACTAGTGGTCTGTTTGAGGAATTGCAGGGAAAGTGAGTGGGGGGTGTAGGGGTGTTTTCCTTGGCTCCTAGGATAGAGAACCGAGGCAGGGTCCTGAAGGGACTCTGCTTTACTGCCTGGGACCCTCCTCTGCCTCGGAGGGAACTTTGAGCATTGACAGTGAGGCTCCAGCCCCTCTTTCTCTCTCCAGGCTGTCCAGACCAGTCTTCACTGGGCTTGGTTGACACAAAGGCCCACAGAGCCCTCCTCTCCCCATTCTCAGCTGTGCTGCCAGGAGTGGGGGCTCAGGGGGCCAGTGGCCCAGGAAGAGGGCGGAGTTCACAAAGGGGTGAACTGGGAGAGGGAGGGCCCCTCTTCACGCCCTTTCCCCCCTCCCCACCTTGGCAGTGTGTGTCCTGTCCCTCCCTTGAGCCCACCCTCACTCAGCTGGCCAACACACACACCCAGGTGAATGACTAGAAAATAATTTATTGAAGAAAAACAAAACAAATCCAACACAGCAATGGTTAACAATGATTTTTTTTCCTTTTTTTTTTAAAGCCTGTCGCCTGAGGGTGGGGGTGGAGAGGCCTTCTTGTCCCTGTGATGTTGGGGGTGAGGGATCGCGTGACCCGCTGAGTGCATGCTCTAGATTCTGACCAACACTAAACACTCAAGCCTGTGTGGCCGCTTGGACCTGGCCTACCCCCAGCTGAGAGAATCTTCTTCCCAAGACCAGCCCTTGGGGAGGGGGTGAAGAGCCCACCAGAGGGAGCTGAGGGCACATTTTCAACCTCTTTGGTCAGCCCAGGGAAGTGGCCCCCCCCCGAGGTCCAGCTGGTATGGGGACTGTGTGATGCACCCTCCACTTCCACTGGCCTTTTAAGTTGGCTGGGCTTCAGCTCTCCTGTCCTACTGCGTGAAGGGTCACGTGGTCACCTCAGGCTTCCCCCTGGCCAGGGCCTGCCTTCGAAAGCGAGCCTTCCCCCTCCTCCTCCTCCTGTCCTTGATCCTCTGTGCCACCCAGGGAAGGATGTACTGGAGTCCCAAGCCAGACTCCCACCCTCCCGCCAGGAGCACAGAGGAGGCCTCATGACAAAGGTGGGCTTACGGGGAGCCACTGTCTCCACAGGCCCCTTCCGTGAGTCCTTTTTTTGGGAGTATTCTCTTCCTCGAAGAAGAAGGCTGTGAGGAAGAAGCCATGCCCAGCGCAGGGCCGTGGAGGCTGGACAGGCCTGAGTGGAGTGGAGGGCTGACGCCCGCCAGTGCCCCAGAGAGGCTGTCCCCAACTCCCACCTCCCTGGGCCACAAGACTCCAGCTATTGTCTGATTGTCTCTCTCCCCTGAACAAGACACTTAGGAATTCATGCGGAAGTGGACCCAACCAACCCTGGGTCAGGCCTGGCCTGGGCTGGGGACACACGTGCCCTCTGCATCCAGGGTGGGAGGCCGGGGCAGGTGGGAACGCCGGGCCCCGGGGCTGCAGGACATCCTGGGCTTGGCACTTGGGCTTGTCACCCCGTCTGCCCCCTCCGCTTCTCCTCACTGAACCCACCCCCTCCCCTGTCACAGGGCACAGTTCCATGGGAAGGTGGACAGGGCCATGGGCAGTTAAAGGGCCAGCAAACAGCACCGAGTTGGGCATGAAGTACGATGATACGACATGGAATTCCGGGACCGCCGGGCACGGTCCGCCCCATCCCGCCCCCCACCCCTTCACTTTTTACATCAGTTTCAAGAAAGGGTATATTAGTCATGCATCAAATTTCATTTTGTCTTTTTTTTTTCATTTTCTTCTTTTTTTTCCTCTTAAATTACATTTTAACACAGAACACATAGAATAATAAATACTCTTATAAGACACAACTCTGAAAAACAAGAAACAAGACACACCAGAGAACAGAAAGGTACACCGTCTCTCTCTTCCTCTCTTTCCTAAAGGACTTCGTTGAAATAAGAAATCTGTAAACGCACAGGCGGTCCCTCGCGCTCTCACGCCCAGCCTCTCGCTCATCGTCCCTCTGCCCGCAGCCTCTGACCACCGACCACCCGCCTCCCTCTGCCCGGACATTCGCCACGTCTCCCACTGAACTCGTCAAAGAGATACATGCCATTGTCTGCAAAATTATAATTTAACCGTATAAAGCTTCAAGTCACATATTCCAAAAACTAGCTAAGGATTTTTTTTATCACATAAACTATACATTAAATATTTTGAGGTATTTCAGAGAAAATTGTCAAAGGCTTGAAGGAATTGTGCTGGAGGAGTCCTTCCCCATATGGAGAATGGTCTTTGGTATGTGGCAACCAGCTGGGTATCGGGGAGACCCGGGATGGGTGCAGGGGGTGCTGGAGGCCGAGAGGCCATAGGGAGGAGCTGCAAGAAGCAGCAGGTGGAGGGGGACTGAGGGGCGGGGAGGGGCAGGAGCTGGGGTGCATGTACACATAGATGTTGACATGTATGTCTGTGTGTTACGTACCGTTTGTACGTGCATATGTGTATTGTGTCTGTGTTGCATGTGTGTATATATGTGTGTCGAGTAAGTGTGGTGTCTGTATGTATGGTATTGTGTTTGTATACACACATTTATATTTGTGTTGTGTATGCATAAAGGATGTAGGGGGTTTGTATATGGCACATGGAAAGGGCTCAGGAGCCGTAGGGACACTGATGTGACGTGTGTCAGTAGCAACTGACCCAAACCAGCTTGCAAAACCCCAGACCACGTCCTGTTTACCTGCTCTGGACAAACCCTCAAATCTGACCCTTCCTTCTGAAGACCCAGGAAAGTCGAGGGTCTCTCAGCAACAACGTCCAGGGAGCACCAGAGAAGCCCGGTCCCCTGCAGCTGGGGCTCTGGCTGGGGGCTGACGCTGGAGAGTTGTTTTCCAAGAAGAAAGATGATCCCAGGTGAAGGAGGACCCCCTGTGGGTCTCCTCCTCCTCCATTAAAATTAGCTAAAATAGCATTTGATGGCTGTGTTGGCAGAAAGACAAACACATTGATACAGGATATGAAAACACATTTCCCCGCCTTCTGATGTGAAATGAAGGCCTGCAACACTTTCTCCAGCCTTGGACTTGTCATGTCCGGTAGAACCTGGGCTGGGCAGAGAGCACCCGGGCTATCCTTGAGGAACTGAGGGCGGAGGTCAGGGGCCCAGGTTTTAGTGGGAGATGGGACAAAGGGACACATGTGTCTAGAATGGAGGTTCAGGACACCCTGAAAAGGAGCAGGAGCTGGAGAGTGTGCAGTGCTGAGTGTATACTGTGTGTGTATACAGGTGGGTATACTGTGTGCGCACATGTGTGCAGTGCTGAGAGTCCACTGTGTGTATACAGTTGTGTACACTGAGTGTGCAGATGACTGCAGTACTGAGTATATACTGTGTGTATACAGCTGTGTGCACATGTGTGCAGTGCTGAGAGTCTACTGTGTGTATACAACTGTGTACACGGTGTGTGTGCATGTGTGCAATGCTGAGTGTATACTGTGTGTGCATATGACTGCAGTACTGAGTATATACAGTGTGTATACAGCTGTGTACACTGTGTGTGCGTGCATGTGTGCAGTGCTGCGTGTATACGGTGTGTGTATACAGGTGGGTATACTGTGTGTGTGCATGTGTGCAGTGCTGAGTGTATACCGTGTATATAGTGTATGCATATTGTGTGTGCATGTGTTCACAGGAGGGGTCAAAGGGGGGGCGCTTTACTTTCAGGGTTCTACCCGAATACCCAAAGGTTCTAGAAGCATCACTCAGATCCAGTTGCTTAGTCTCGGGGGCTAGTGAGTCGACAAGGACAAGCAAACACTCCACACACATCTTTGGTTCCGGAACAAGGCACTCATCGACCTCACTACTCTCTCTCTCTCTGGGGGGGAGGGGGCGGCAGACACCGTTGGAGGGAGGGGAATTCGCGCACCCAGCACAAGTCCTTGGGGGAAATCTTTGGTATCAGGTGTGATTTTTCCAATCACAGAAATGAACGTTTGAGTGAGGTAGCCTTTACCTGGGGGGTGGGAGGTGCATTTCAATGGAAATGTCTTTTGCATTCTCAAGGGGGGAGGGGGAGGTGGGGGGCCTCTCCCTGGGGGGCAGCAGATGGGTGGCGTCCTCCGAATTTCCACATCTTGATCCCCTGGGGGAGGGGAGGAGGCCTCTGGGGTTCAGCTGCCCACCAGCGTCGAGGTCCCCCAGACCAGAGGGGACCAGTGGGGGGAAGGGTGGGGGGAGGCTCAGTTTCACTTCTGGCCCACCCCACCCTTGTAATTTTTTTCCTTTTTGGCAAAATGGAGCTAGCAGATTCCAGTCTTCAGCATCTTCTTTGTCTCTTTGGAGAGGGCGAAACAAACCAAGCCTCACCCCGCGGCCCCAGGAGCCCCAGTTCGCCACCTCCACGTGGGCTGGAGGCTGGGCCGGTGGTTCCAGGGTGTGGCCAGCAGACAGGAAGCGCACGGCCCCAGCACGTGGAATCTGGATGGCGACCCCGTTTCCTGGGGGGCGTCTTCCCTGCGTCATCATCAAGGTGCCTAAAATACAGTGAACCGAGGAGGTGCGGGAGGGGGGGGCGTCTGGAATCTACCCGCATGTTGGAGCCCCCCTCGCTCCGGGGTGGGGTGGAGAGTGCTCGCCGGTGGGCCCCCCGACTTTAAGGCAGGCAATTCTTGGCACAAGAAGTCCTGGCCGCTGGCACGGCAGCTCAGTGCTTAGCTGGGGGCAGTTCTGCCCGCCGACTTGGGGGGTCGGCTGGTGGCGTGGGGGGGTAAGGATCCAGCTTGACGTCGGTTTGGGGTTTGTAGGAGGGGCTTGGGTCCCTGGGAGGGGCAGAGGGGGCCACGGGTCACCTCCTTTCGAGGAGGCTAGGTGGTTGGTAGTGGGGTGGCCCTTTCCCGCCTCCTTTGTGGGGGGAAAGGGTGTGGGTCTGAACGGGAGTGGGGTTACTCCTAGAACTCCTTTTTTAAAATACCCGGTTTATATTTCTAGTATGTGCTTCTAGACCCGCTTCGGGGGACAACACAGTGAGCCCCGGTTTTTCTCGAGGCCCCCTGGCGTCCTGAATCGAGGGGGGCTGGGGGACCCCCGTTCTGTTACCCCTCTCCCCTCTGCGGAGACGGAGGGCTTCCTTTGGCCTGGAGGGGGTTGGGGCGGAGGGGAGCGGAGGGGACCCATTTTGTGCACGTGGGCTGGGGGGGTGCCTGTGCCCTCCCCGGGTGTGGGGGGCTCACCCCGCGGGGGGGGGCAGCGCCCGGGGGGCCGGCGGGGCGCGGGGCGGGCGCCTCAGGCCTTGGAGAAGGTGGCGGCGGCGGCTGCGCCCCCGGGGGCTGCGCCCGGCTCCTCGGCCCAGCGGTTCATGCAGCGGCGCCGCGCGTTCATGAAGAAGTTGCTGACGGTGTTGAGCTCCAGGCCGAGCTGCTGCGAGATGGTCACCTGCATCTCCTTGGACGGCCGCTTGTTCTCCTTGAAGATGGCGATGAGCGTGCGCCGCTGCAGGTCGGTGAACACCAGCCGCTGCTTCTTGGGCTGCAGCGCGCGCTCCTTCTGCTGCTCCTGCTCCTTGCGCTTGCAGGCTGCGCATGCGCGGGCGGGAGGCCCGACCGGCCCAGAGCAGCGGGACAGCAGCCGGGCGGCGGACAGACACACGCAGGACACACGCAGGACACACGCGGGGGCGGGGCAGAGAAGGGGACACGGAGTGAGCGCGCTCCACGGGCCTGGTCTCCACCCCTGCGAGCCCCCTCTTCCCACGCGTTCCCGGGGGTCCGGCCCACCCTCCTGTCCCCACCAAATGACCCCATTGCCCGAGGGTGCTGACCATCCCCCCCAGTTTGCCGCCCAGTCCTGGGGGCACAATGAGAGGATGACAAGGAAATTATAACGGGGCTCCACTGAGCCCATTTCCAGCCTACAGGGACACCGGGACCCCACTTGGGCCGCCCCAAAGCCACACTCTTTACTGGACCGGATCACCAGGGCTTTCTCCCTAGAAGCGGCTGGGTGAGTCTGAACCGACAATCGTTCAGTTAGCAGCCACGTGTTGTCAGAACAACTTGCCAAGTGCTGGGTGGGAGATAGTGGCTCAGAGAGTAACAGCGCTGGCGACCCCTCTCTCTCTCTAGCCAGAGGGGCCTCTGCGTGACTGTCCCCTTCCCTGTGTGCTCCTTGGAGGCCTGCTGGTCTGTATGGGGACAGTGGAGACCCCACCCGTATGCCCCTCCCAGCACCCAGGGCCCTGGGCAGAAAGGAGGCCTTGGAGAAGGGACCCAGGTGCACAGAGGGCCTCCTGCCCCGGAGGCAATGCTGACAAGATGCAACACACATATACTTGGGGGATGGAGCAGGGCTGAAAGCTGGGGCCCCGCCCCCCCCCCCAAGGAGAGGCAGTAGGGGGAAAAGCTGCCAGGACACCACACCACACACACACACACACACACACACACACACACACACACACACCCGCCCATTCATGATTTCTCATTCTGGCTAGAAGATACTGGTAACAGATTTGGACTCATTCTCCTAACCGCCCGCTACCCAGGTCACCCCAGAGGTGGCCAGTGGCACAGGGTGTATGAGTCGACCCCCAGGCCCCCTGTTCCCAGTAGCTGGTTGGGTCTGCACATCTAGCTCCCTCCTCTCAGCTCTAGAACATTCCAGACTAGATGGTCTACACATGTCCACAAAAATATGTGAATGTTCCTGTCGCTGTGGCTCCTCTCTGGGGTCTGCAGGTTCACCAGTCTTGTGTGTGAGCTGGGAACAGGGGCGCTGGGAATCGGCAGAGTGACAGTCCTGGGCGTTGAAAGCCTCTCACGTTAGAGAGTGAAGGACAAAGCCAGGAGGGCGGGTGGGTGTGCGAGTGAGCAGGGGCCCAGCAAACCTTCACAGTGACACGGGTCCCAGAGACGCAAGGAAACGGTCACAAATCACGACAGGTGCCACTTATAAACAAGGACAGAAGAAGACACCCTTAACATTTAGCTTATGTATGAGGAGAAATGTGGGGTCAAGATTGGTGGACGATTTATCAACAATCTGCG